CTGCTGCTGGTGGTGGTGGTGTCGATGGCGTGATATGACTCGCCACAAGCTCCTTAATTGCTGCCATCCTAGCTATGATGGGAGCCATGAGATCAATAAGATACTAGGGAGCCTGCTGCAGCTCAGGTGGTGACTGCTGTGGCTCGGGTTGAGCTTGTTGTGGCTCAGGTGAAGCCTGCTGCGACTCTGCCTGTCTAGCTCTCCAAGTACGAGGTCTACCACGTCCTGCTATCTCTCTGATCATAAGAAAACAAGAGTTTATGAGTCAAAATAGACATATACACATACATTTAGTAACGGACTTGCTTTGTCTTTGTGTAGCAAGCTTTGACTTTGGTCTTTGTGGAGGCAAAAAAAGGAGCTGACTCATTAGAACATTGGTTATGTATGAATCAATTCCCTGCAACTGCTATTCATGGTGATCGAAGACAGCAATAAACCCACAAATCAAAGGCACAAATATATTCGGTTGGTTCGGTTCGGGTCGGTTTGAAAAATTGTCAACCCGACCCGAACCGCCTTACTCATAAAACCGCTTTTTTCGGATCGGTTCGGGTCGGTTCGGTCGGTTTTTTCGGTTTGAACCGAACCGTGCTCACCCCTACCGAGTACGAGGTCTACCACGTCCTGCCATCTCTCTCTGATCATAAGAAAACAAGAGTTTATGAGTCCAAATAAACATATATACATACGTAGCATATTACAATATGATTTTCACAACAATTTAGTATTCACCCAAATACTTTAAGTTTACACAAAATAGTTGTCATAGAAAAAATATCCTCAAATTTTGAGATATACGCATATATCGTCCTCACTCATACTAGGGAATCCTTACGGACTCTATACATGAATCCTAAGAAACTCTATCCTAGCTCTACGACTCGACATAGGATGATTCTAAGGATACTGGAACTAGAACTCTGATACCAACTGTGACGCTCCAGGGTTCACACAAGGCTGCAACCCAAGGTGAAACCAAGAATATCAAACCTGTCATGCACCACACCATGCAATAACATGTTTCACCATCACAATTACCATCTCTCTAGTAGAATCAATAACAGGTGTAGGTACAAAAGTAATTAAAAGATTATACAAGAGTCAACTGATGAAATAATAGAGATCAAATTAATATTCCATCATTTACCATACTGAAATATAAGTCAATGTCTGAAATGAATATACTGGAGTTCTCGACAAGTCTCAAATACATAAAGTCTGAAAAAGAGGAAATAAGGCACACAGCCTTTACAACTTCTAGAAATAAACTCTTAAAATGTCTAAACAAAACCTACAGTGGAGCTCAAAAGTAAAATATAACTATAATAGAATAACTGAAGCTAAAGTGCCTCGCCATCAACCTGCGACTCTCCGAGCTCCTGGCTCGTTACCTGAAAGGGGGAGGGACAATGAGCGTCAAAGCGCTAGCGAGCAACATCACAACCAACCCCAAGGATAAGGGCTCGTTGTATACAAAAAATACAGTTAATATATATATATATATATATATATATATCAAATCACTGATCCTATTTAGGAATTTACAATACGAGCATAAGTACGTCGAGCGAAATAATCCAAACAAGGAAACCCTCATGTATATACCTTGTAGCTCAAATTGCAAATCTCTAATAATAAGAAGGTTTTAATATTTAAGAAATTTCTACACGGGCATAGGTACGTCGAGCGAAATAATTCAAACAAGGAAACACTCATGTATATACCTTGTATCCCAAATAGTAAGTCCCTAAATACGAAACCCAAAATCTAATATAAGAAACAATAATAGAAGGAAAAATGAACTCATCTCAGAACTTAGTTACGGTGTCATGTCACAACTCATATAAATGTCATGTCCAGCCTATGTAAGTGTCAGTGTAAACTCTCGAGGTCCAAACTGATGTAATAGATGTCCAACACATGGACTGCATATGAAAACTGTCCAACACATGGACTGAATGTAATAAATGTCCAACACATGGACTACACATCATAATTGCCCAACACATGGACTAGATGAATTATATGAACAGTGTCCAACACATGGACTACACATCATAATTGCCCAACACATGGACTAGATGAATTATATGAACAGGTGCATATACCCTAATTTTAATTGCCCAACACATGGACTAGATGAATTATATGAACAGGTGCATATACCCTAATTTCTCACGTGTCTTGGTGCGCAAACCTAAGCTCGTGTCCGCATACAGGTTATAATAAATTTCTAATACTCATCATTCGAGGCGACTTCCCGTTCATATTAAAGCACGCAACAACAGTAAACAAACATATATAGTTTTAGTTAAACTGAAATATCTCAAACAGATCCAAACTGAAGAAATACTGAAAATCTCCTCATCAGTCGACCCATGAGTCGACTATGATTGGTTGACTCATTGGTCGACCAAACAAAACACAAACTAAAGTTTTCCTTATCAGTCGACTCATTGGTCGACTCATCAGTCGACTCATTGGTCGACTGAGCAGAAAATCCCCAGTTTTCTGTTTACGATAATTATCTGCAAAATTATAAACTAATGTTCTCTTTGATCATGTCCAGCAATATATATCCGATTCTAACACATGTATATCATTATAAACTAATGTTCTCTTTGATCATGTCCAGCAATATATATCCGATTCTAACACATGTATATCAACAGAAACGAAAGATATATATCCGATTCTAACACATGTATATCAACAGAAACGAAAGATTTGCATGTAATATCTTACATTAAAATCCTAAACATATTTCATCATGTTAAAAAATGTGTTGAAAACATTAAATCACATGAAACCTATATTTAAGACTAATTCCAGATCTGGATCTATATTACAAAAACGTTGGTGAGCTTTTTACTAACTGAAAAAGAATATAGATCTTGCATCTTAGAATGTAAAATATCTATTTTTATGCACAAAAATATGTTTTAGACTCAAAAATCCGAAATAAAACCAAATAAAATCATACAAACAGTGGGTATAGGGCTGGGTGAGATGTTACTGGCCTTTGGTATGCTGACCAACTCCTGAATCCGAGAGAGAAAGATCTCTTCTGCTGCACCTCGTCAAATCCCGCTGAAATCCTCCGAAAAATCCCCCAAAAATCACCAAAAACGAACTAGGGTTTTGAGGGGAGAGAGGGGCTAGGGTTTCTCTGATAACTGATGGGTTTTCGGGTTGGTTTCGGGTAGGAGCGATTTTATATAAGCGGTCAAACCTGAAACAAAACCAACCCAACCCGCAAATAAAAGAAAATTTGGAAATCAGCCCGTCAGTCGACCCATCAGTCGACCCATCAGTCGACTCATTAGTCGACTCATGAGTCGACTCATAAGTCGACTGAGCAGACACTTATTTCCAGATTCGTGCATGTTTTGTTATTCAGCCAAAACCAATGCACGAACTCTATGAAACCACACTTATACATGTCTAGAAACTTGTTACCAAGTATATCCATGACCTCAAGTAATTTACCACAAATAAAACTATTTATCACTAATAGTTCACATATACTTCTAACAAAATACGGGGTTTTATAATAAGAGAGTATACACTGTATACTTATATATATAGTTTTACATATATT